GATTCAGCCTAAAAAATTCAACAGCAACTGTGAATCAAGTTAGAAATTTTAAAATATTCCAAGTTTTCCACTAGCTAGATGACAATTGTTGTAGCCTAAAGCAAGAAGAAAATCTAAGTACAAATATCCACCATACAGCGTCATGTGATAGGCAGTGATGGGAACTGTCAAAAGATCATGAACCAGTGCCCAGTGAGGAGGAAGAGAGCGCATAGTGCTGCCTGCCCAATAAACTCAGGAACAACGAAGTAATTGATACGGGAGGAAGCCTCATATGGGTTGACATAGTCAGCCTCCAAGTCTGTTAAGATCAGAATCTTCAGGGGGGTAAAAAGGAACTTCAATAAGATTCGTTGAACTCAAAACAGCCGTAATGCGCATCCTCCATATCAATGTAATAAACAAAATCTAACGACAGTGAGAAATAAAACATATGGGAGAAAAGGAGATACCTGATAAAAAGTGGAGGCAAGAAGAGCAACGTTGAGGGGAAAACAAATTACAAGCCAGAAAAACAAATTCCAACCCATTTACTGACAGAGAAGAAGGCTGCCATCAGCTGATTGTCCCGGAGGGTTTTTCACTTTTCAGGGTTTCTCTTTTTTGGGCCCCAAGTGAGGGAGTTTATTAGCATCAAGTTTGGGCTTTTACTGCGTCGAATTTGATCCTCAAATGGGCCCGAAGCCCAAGCAAAGCTCTTCTGCTTCCATTTTTACATCTTGGGTAATTCTTTGGGCCTAAATCTCTCGGGTGGGCTTTGACACCATATAGCTTGGATTCACTTTTTCCCCCAGCAAGAGCCAACTATAATATGTCGGCAATGCATGCCAATTTATGGCGTGGCTCGGTTTTGGTTTGATGTTGAAATGCCCGCCTAATTTAATTTAAATAAAAAAAATGTTATCACGAAGATTGAAATAAATCGTATTATTTATAATTATTAAATAGTATAATTTTTAAGAAACTTTATATATAATAGATAGATATAAATTGTTTGTTGTGTATGTTTTAATACTCCCATTTTTACTTTTTTTGGGTAAAGTCTCATTCAACAAGCATTTAATTTATGTACATTATATCTAAAAGTAATGCGTGTGCATGTATACAATTTTAAAATCTTTCTAATTTTTCAAGGTTCTTTTGACAAAAAGAAGATAGCGGATAGCGCATCATTAGCATAAAGAATCTATTTACTACATGAATATATTACTATTTTACTAGACACGTGCTTTTTTTTTAACATAAAATTTAAAATGAACTAAATTATTCATAGTAATTTTTTTTTTTTGGTAATATAAGGAGCGGGCTCCAACCTCTACGCACACATCCAAACACACACACACACCACAACACACGCCAAGAGGCCGGTGGTGGTAATCATCAATATCAATATATATATAAATACTCTTCCACCAAGCCATCTCCAAAAACGGCTTAGCACTGGCTTCAGAGATGAATTACTGTTCACAAGCCATGCTCATTAAAATAAGCTTATTTCTTGGGCTTCTGTCAAGCTAATCATAATAGATGATATACATTGGGCTTTGGGTTGTGGCTCACTGTTCCGCACCTTTCTCTCAGTCCCATTTATTACGTTTTCCCTCTTCGTGAGTTTTATCATACGCCTTTCTCCGTCATTTTTTTCACATGAGGCATTACCTCTCACTTCTTCATTGCCACAGGTACTCACTTCTAAATTCAAATTTTAAATTTTATCTCCCTCCATCTCTTCAGGTCTCCTTTCAGGAGTCTCAGTGCCATTTTATCTCATTCAAAATGTTTATAATCTTCTTTTATTATTTCTTTCATTTCTGCTCTTTCCCCTTCTTCCTCTTATTTTATTTTCCTTTCGCTAATTTCACTTTTCTTTGTTGTTCTTCGGTTTGTTTTTCTTTGGCCCCCTTATTAGGTTTTTCGATCATTTCTTGCAGTTCATCGAGGAAGGAAGAAAACAAAAACATGTATTCTGTCTCTGATTTCTTCTTATTTGCTCGAGGTAGCTCTACTATTCTGTTTGAACTCATCTCTCTCTACAACATTGATCTAAGAATGAAGAAGTTGTTCAAAGGTCTTGCCATATTGACGCAGTTAAAGCTCAACTATGATTCACATGACATATGAGTTTCTCATCTATGTTCTCTCTAGAAGATGAAGAAGAGCAAAGGTAATATTAGCTATTTCTTCACAATCGCTGAAATTTCTTCGGATTTGTAATCAACAGGGAAAAATAAGAAGGTCTGATGCACGGTTATTGTAAAGTTTCTAAAGCACAATGAGAGAGACATCTGGTAGGCTTTCTTCACGATTTGAGTTTTTATCTTCTTTTTTTTTTTAACGTCATATATATCCATTCTTCCTCCTCTCCTTTCTTGTTTCTGTTCTCTCCCACCATCCTTCTTCTATTTTATGTAAGTATCTTCAGAAGGTTATGCTTGCTTCAAGGTTTGATTTTTTATCTTCTCTAAAATTTTCTTCTCAACATCTTTCAAGGGTTTGCTTTCTTCGTTTGAGTTTTTAGATTAGAAGGAACAAAGAAATAAAGATGGAGGGAGGAAAGGATGAACACCAATATGAGAGGTCAAGAATGTAGATGGCTAATAGTGTGGAGATATTACGACCAAGGCAGCGGCGAAGAAGCTACAGTGAAGAAGGATGATATGAGGTGAACTAATTTCCCCTTCCCCATGTCTAGCTCCGGCAATTTTGGTTTTTGGGTTCTTCTATAGTTCTCTATCTGTTGATTGTATCTGTTCTTTGATTTTGGGTTCTTCTATTTTATAGAATTCAGATATTTAGTTTCTTTTATGTTGTAGTTCTCTATCTGTTGATTGTATATCTTGCTTTCAAGAGGGATATGTCAGGATGAACCGATCCTCCTTTACATCATGCTCTCCCATGAGATGAATATTTTGGTTGCTCAAGTTTTACCACATTAGTGATATTCGATTTCCCAAAATGTCAGAACTTGAAAGTTACGTAGATATATTATTATCAAATTTGATGTAGTGACTTAAAATGATCATTGCGTCCACACCATGATAAAGTATATAGCACTAAGATTGACTTAACTTTATTAATCTCAGTAGGTAAGGTTTTTATTGTTAAGCATGTGAAACCACATCCTTTAATTCTTTTCTTATTAATCACAACAATTCTCGCGAGTGAGGCTCTAATAATAAAATGGTGCGGATGCACATATATACCCTATAAAACAAAATGGCTGAGCTATTTAGAAGAAAGTTAAGTCATCAAAAAACCGCACCCTATTGGCCTTGCATAGCTGGAAAAGCAAGACTGCTTTATTTATCTGACCTTACTCTACTCCCTTGAACAGCTCAATTATGTTTCCTCAAGTGTGGGCACCATGTTGATTGTTTAATAAAACAAAAGCATTGTCTGAGTAACAACGACTGGAGAAAAAAATAAAAACTGCTGAGTAGTTTTTTTTTTTTTTGCCAACATAAAAGTGTGAGATTGCTAAGTCATTTTTATAATATCATGACTCGATTATATTTGAAGCGTTGTCTGCATTTTTTAAGCTCATATTAAGTGTGAGATTCTATTTGAAGCTTATTTTTCTTTTCCGCCACGTTCTTATTCTTATTATGTCATTCTAATCATCTTGCTTCATTATTTTGCTGAGCTTGGGTGTGTATTTTGTGTGGATGTGGCTCAATTTGCTTTGTGTGAAGATATGCACCGGTGGCTTTAACTATGGATTCATAAGTTTTGAAAAGAATGGATCCGTACTTTTTTTTAGTATGGATGCTATGTGTTGCAATGGGAGCTATCTAAGGTGATTATAGGATACCATTCAGAAAAAATTATACCATGCTTCAGGAGTTTCATAAGAAAATGTGTTTGGCATCATGTAAAAATTTAAACTGCATGAGGATTGAACCATAGATTTAAAGAAGATTGAACGCATGATGCTTATGACTTTGCTTCTTTAGTGTTTATTGTTCTGTCAAACAACTTTTTTGTGTCAGTTAAGCCTTTTTTCCTCAAGCTGATGTTAGTCAATGGTAGGGGGGAAAAAGCTAATGTCTAATGGTTCTTATTCTTCAGGGTGTGTTTTTATTCAAGTTGTCTTACCCATGCTTAAAATCATAATAAATTTAAATGCTCATGCTTAGACTTGCTCTTGGCATCTAACGAATTTTATGCATATTGCAACATTATTATATACTTATGGATGTCAATCTATATAATCATAGAGCACTCAACCCATATTAACTTGAAACACGTTATTTTATATTAAACAAAGAAGGCCACCAGACAAAATTTTGGGAGTTCAATATTTTCATTAATTTTCATGAAATAATCTGTAATTTTCTGTGGGGCCAAGGAGAATTACAGATTTCCATGTAATCTATCACATTACTTTAAATTTTTTATACACAGCAAAATCATTTGTGACTGTTATTTCGTATATTTCTGATTATTGAATATCATAGATTGAATTTTATTTCTACCAAAGTATAATGATTCTTTCTAGATATTTGTTTTTGCTTTTTTTTTTCCCAACATGGTCTTTGGTGTTTCATGAAAATATTAAAAGCTTTATGGACCACATTGACTGCCCTGAAAAAAGAGATCTGAACCTCAGTGTACAAGTATTTTACCTCTGCTGTGTTTATTTCTTGATGGTGTTAAATGACCGAAAACGTCTCAAAAAGGAAACATGCCAAATAAAGTCACATTTCGGTCTTCTTTTCATTGTAGCATATGGATTCCTTCAAATGACCTGTCTTCTTACAATTAGGCTCACTAATGACTTCATCCTTCTTTCTATCAGTATTTTCTGTGGCTGATAAAGGGCAATTATTTTTCTCCACAAAAATTGAAAGATTAGCGTAGGAAGCATCTCAAAAAGGGTATATCTTAAAGTATGCATGTGTAGTTTGTAGACAATATTTGCTTTCGACAGTGCACTGAACTTTTGCAATACAGAGTTCTTATGCCATCAAAATGACAGGCCCTTTCTTTGTTTTTTTTTTTGGTCAACCGACGGGTCCTTTCTTTATGTTAACAATATATATCAATATTAAAAAAAAAAGCCAAACAAACTACATGTTTTCAAAACCTATCCACCTCGTTCTACTATTTGAATTTGAAGGTTACCTATTGATTTTGTTGGAGGCGTATCACTTGAAGTCAAATAGTTAGGCATGTATAAAAGCACATGAGAAACAACTTTATCCTTTCCAAGCACTTCATCTTTTTTTTTTTTGTGGTTTCAAATTGTTTACCACGTAACTTTCTCTCAATTCTAATTTCCATTTGTTTTCTGATATTTCACCCTCTTTAGTTCTGCATTATATTCATTATGTTCTATTCCTTCCCTGTGCATATAGCAGCATATATAGCCGGCCTTGATGATCTCCCTCATCCTCGCTCACTGATGTAAGTGTGTATAACCATAGATTAATATGTGTCAAAGAATCGAATAGGCCTTGATGATGCCCGTCATACTCAAACCTGTCCATGGGAAAAGCAACATGGCTAACTTATGTATTCAATGACTCGT